CATTCCCAGGCTCTAATCGTTTCTCGATCAACAAGCAGCGGCACAACAAGTTTCCCCCTTCCACGCTCGGCTCTTCGCATTAAAATATTAACTATGTGCCATTCATTATCCACCTAACAAACCGACCCACTTAACAGCCACTCAACGCAAACACTCTCTCTCCAGCCAACAACCACATTGTCCAAAAGCAAATAAATATATGCATGTACGAGTATTTTTGTATGGATAAACGAGCCGAGCCACCGCAAAAGCCACAACTACCGAACCACACAACACACACGCACACACGCACACACGAGTATGAAGCAGGAACAACAACAATGACAGCAACAACAAATAGCAACCATTAAATGTGTAAATTTCATAAATTAACCAATAAAGTTGGCAATTATTTCCATACAAGCATTGATGGGTAAACAAAATATGAGTGTGTGTGTGTGTGTGTGCGATCAAATTAAGTGCAATAAAGTAATCAAATAAAAAGAATAACGAATAATATTTTGATAAACTGTTTTCGGCCATTCAGAAACTCCATCTGCAGCAAATAAAAACTTTATGTAGAGGCAAATAAAAAATAGAAATAAAATGAAGAAAAACTTGGCCCTAAAATCGCATCATTCTAATTACTTCCTCGCGACTCGCTGAAGGACTTCCGGCAGCAGGACACCTCCTCCGGTCCAAGTTCAAGTTGAAGTTCTGGGCAGCTCGCAGATTTGCCTCTGAAAGGAGGAAGGCGGAGAAGGCACTGGAGACGGAGGAAGGAGTGTCCCCGGCTGCACTGGCCGACTGGCTGACTTGGATGGGCGCATAAAACAATCGTTTTGTAATAAAGATGAAAATTTTATTAAAAGATGTCGGAAACAGATGTCGCCGCCCAACGCGAAACGAGAAACGAGAACGAACTCCGATCCGATCCAAAGCGCGAGGGCACCCGCAGCCGCACCCTCTCCTTCACATCCTGGGCAGCAAAAGCCAAGCCAAGCCAAGCCAAAGCCAAAGCGACAACACACACTTTATAATCTTTTATCGCATTTTTTCTACTTGGCTGACACAAAGAGCGTATTTATGCGACTGTTAACGTTATGAAAAGCCCATAATTTGCCAGCCACCCCAGACACACACCAACACACACACACACACACACTCGATTCTCACTCTCGGCACTGGGGGATTCCCCCTTCTGCCTGCCTAGTTCCCGGACGAATATAATAAAAATAATAAACGTTGTCCTGAAAATCGATAGCAAACAGAATTCGCATTCATTCCATGGAATGGAGTGGCCTGCAGCAGTAGCGCCCAGCGGTAGCGGTAGGGGTAGGGCTAAGGGTAGGGGTAGTGGTAGCGAGTCCGGCTGGAGGACATGGCCATGGCAGCAGCTGATATCGACAGTTAAGTTGGTGGAATGCTTTTTCTATATCGTCCTTTGCCATCGAGTGTCGTGTATAAATGTTTGCGCTTTATTATATTGCCCAACCACGCCCCCTCCCCACCGCCCCACCGCCCCAACCACTCCGCCATCAAAAACCCCAGTCCGTGCAGCATCTTGTGACATTTTACCTTTTTTTTTTTGCTGGTTGGTGGAGGGGGTGGGCTGCAGACGATACACGATAATGATATCCATATAATGATGCGGCTGTCAATGGCATTCGATTCCATTCCCATTCGAAGCCATGAAGTTGTTTATTCGCACTGGAGTGGCATGTGGCAGCATTCGAGTTGCGACACACACACACACGCACACACAGCCACAGAAAAAGTCTTTGAATTCGGTGAACGGAATTTACCTGCCGAAAAAAAAGGGATGGCTAAGGAAGTGAATCAAAGTGGGGCCTGGAAAGAGTTTTTGAGCTTTTGATGTGGCATGCTGCATTTCTGGGACTGGTATTGCAGAGACGTCTGTTGTTGAAGAGTCAAGATAGAGGAAAAAAAGAAAGCAGATGAACAACAAGCAAGACGCAAGAGAAATCTGTTTCTGAAGAGTCAAACGAAAGAGATATGAGATGGAGATCTTTCATGTTTCAGCATGGGATATGAAACATTTCGGGCTGAAAGAAAGACAGGGGAAAAGATAACCAGAAATATCTGCTGCTGAAGAGTCGTCAGTTCAGAATTAAAGAAAAATCTGAGAGAGGTTTGCAAATGAGATGAAAGAAGCAAGGCTTTGATCAGTCTGCAGAACAGATCTGAAGGATAACTACAGTTCTGCTACAGTTCTATCCACTTGCTGCGTCTCCAACTCAACCAAACAAAAATCTCTATATATTCATTCTGCACAGTGCCAAAGCCAAGCCAAGACCAAGCCAATCCCAAGCCAAAAGCCTTCTTCTCTTCCCTCCCAAGCAAAAAGTCAAACATTAACAGCACAATAATCCCCACAATGGCCCATGGGGCCATAACAGCCGCATTATAATTTACATATTTCCAATTCAGCAAACAAATTACAGACAAAAACAAAACAAAACCATAAACTCAAACCAAACTCCATAAAATACCATACAAAAATCTGAATAAAAATGAAAATAAACTCAACTCAAGTCAACACTCTGAAAAACAATTAAAAGTTTGTCTTTAACACTTGCCCGTGTCCCTCCCCCACACTGCATGCAAAAAAGGGGGGGGTAGCATTGGGGAGCATCCGTAGGGAGGTGTATAACAAAAGCCTGTTTTTGGTGACCCCTTTCATTTGTCAAAAAGCAGCGGCATGACAATGGCAGATAAAACACAAATACGAATGCGAACAGGAAACGGAACCGAACCGAACCAGAACAGAAGGAAAAGCTGTTCCCGCTGCTGCCGCTGCTGCTGCTGCCGCTGCTGCACATTCAACCCACTTATCAAATAATTGTCCTCATATTATGGCAACTACAAAGAATGAAGCAATCATAGCATAAGAGCTGGAGATACTCATATCTCTATAGAGAGAAGAGCTCAGAGAGAGAGAGAGACACAGACAGAAAGAGAGAGAGAAGGAAGCGACCCAAATTGTGGAAAATATTCGGCTAAAGTCATGTGTTGGTGCCAAATAAAAATGTAAGGACTCTTCAAGGCACACACACACACACCAACATTCTCAAGCCCACAAAGAGAAAGAGCGAGCGAGCGAGCAGGGGCGAGCAGGGTAGGAGACAGTGAGAAATCCTTTGCATAAATGATGACGGCATGATGAGAACTTTTAATCATTATTATCACATATTTATACGCTTATATGAGCATGTTTTATGTACTCGCAGTACGCCAACAGCAGCAGCAGAGCAGCAGCAGCAGCAGCAGCAGAGGAGGGGAAATCTGGAGCAGAGTGAGGACAAAATGGATCCACTTTTGGGGGGCGGGGAGGGTAATCCTTTGAGGCGTGCTTCATATGAAAGCAAAAAGCCACAAATGGCAGCGCAAAACAATCGAGAAGAGGAAGGAGCAGCCATGGCTCTTGTTATCGCTCCTCGTCGTACTTCTTCCTATTGTGGAGAGCACTTTTCCGCCTGCCTCCCCACCCCCCCCCCCCCCCCTGATGGGTTTCCGATTCGAGTGAGGCCACGCCCCGACTTTGCCTGGGCAACCGGGCAACCACTTGCACTTTTCCAAGCCCAAAAGCCGCAACAAGGGTTGCTCCTCTCTCTTTTTCTCTCACTAGCCTTGTCTCTTTTCATATTTGCGAGTGCCTGTGTGTGCCTGTGTGTGTGTGTGTGTGTGTGTCTAGTTCTTATACAATAGATTACGTACCCACACAGTCATACAAAAGGCCAAAAGGACATACATACATATATACATGTACTCGGATTCCTCATCAAGCTCCCCTCTAAGCTTCTTGCTTACATAACCGATTCGATGAAATTTTCGCATTTACTTTGAGTAAATAAGTCATCATTGTCGATTGTAGATTGTCGTCATCAACGACGACAACGACGAGGACGACGACGAGGACAACTAATTTGCGGTCATAATAAAAGTTAATCTACTGACTCCTTGGCTCTTTGGCTCTGTTATTTTTTTTTTTTAGCTGATGCTGATGCTGGTGGGTTTGGGTTGGGTATTTGGGGATGCTGATGCTGCCTGCAACAAATTGCGCGCAGAAATTCAAAAGTTTTAGGGACAGAAAAGGCGCATTGGAGATGATTAGGGAGGGGTTCGATATATAGAACATTTTTCTAATTAAAGCTTTTAGAAATGTTCTGAAAAGAAAGCAATTAGATTGGCATTCCAAAATACAGAATATATCAATTTAAAATCTATTAAGTTTCACTTTTAATTTCAGTGAAACTCCTATGATTATTAGACTAATTTGTGACAAGTTTTGACATCAAAAGAGATCTCATTTTACTATTAATATAGCTGCAATAAATTCCAGCCATCAATCAGTAAAAAGTTTTTGCTCTAAAATTTGTTGTACAGTGAATCCTAAAATTATAAATATATTTCCCATGCTTGAAGTCCTTCATTGCAGCCTTCAGACTTACAGATCAAAGGCCTCGGAAAATTCATGTCCAAAATTGCACACCACTTGCCCCACTGTTGTGCCACCATGGGGCAGCAACAAATCTAATAAGACTCGAGCAGCACACACACACACACACACCAATGGAGGGGGCACAGTTCAAGGCAGTGGCAGAGGCAGCGGCAAAGGCAACAAAACAAGAAAATTAAATTTTTATTGTTTTCACACAAATAAAATCAAATAAAAAGCGTACAACAATAACGAGCAGGACACGTACGCACACTCCCAAAGCGCCACAGAGAGCAAGAGAGAGAGAGAGAGAGAGGGAGAGAGCGAGTGTGTGTGTGTGCATTGAGTACATAAGGAGGCAGGGCAGGCAGCATCACGTGCCACACGGATGAGGCAGAGGACGACGACGACTGGGCAGGAGACGCGGACCAACCACCGCCGAGCAACCCCTAAAATTCCCCCTGTGATGTGCTCCTGCGAGATGCTGCTGCAGAGGTCCTGCGCCGAGGATAATGCCACGGTCTGCACGGGCTCTGCGTTCAGTTCGATTTGAGCACTCGACGCGAACGCGACGGTCACAGACGCGATAGATATATATAGCTAAGGCAGAACCCCAAAGCGAAGGACTCCCAGCGAGAATCGAGCGTAATGTCAACGGCCTTCCTCGTGGACAGTCTCCTGCATGCCCAGCAGACCTACACGGAGAGCCAGCTAAAGTCGAGCCTGAGCGAGATGCTGCTGTCGCGTCGTGCCGGGGAGTCGGGAGTCGCGGAGCCGGTGCCGCCGCCGCCGGATTCGGTGTCCCCCGTGGAGCAACGGCCGGACAGCTGCAGTTGCTCGAAGCGTGGCTACAAGTGTGATAAGTGCCGGGAGCACCGGGCCGAGAGTGTCGACAGCATCGAGGAGATGGATGAGGACGATGAGGACTCGTCGGCGGATGAGATCGTGGCCGACATTGAGGAGGTGCGGCTGCACATGGATGACGAGGACCTGGACGATGAGGAGGTGCAGGCAATCAAATTGCCCAAGGTGGAGCCCAAGGAGACCACCATCCCAGCGGCAGGCATCACCACCACCATCCTAAAGGATAACAACAGCAAACCCATCCTCAAGTTCAGTGTCAGCGCCATCCTGGGCGATACCCGGGAGGGAGTCCGCGTTAGGAATGGTAAGCCATCCCATCCAGCCAACCAGCCATCCATCGAGCAGGGGCTTAGCCAAGGATCTCCATAATTGAGGCTTGGCAATTAATTTGCCGTGGCTAATGCCAAACATAAACAAAATACAATTGCAATATGAAAAGCCAAAAGAATAACAATCTGGGCCAGAAAGTTTCCAACGATCAAATCAAACCCTGCTGCTACTTCGCAGTTGCCTTAGTTTTTTGTTTCTGCGCCGTGAATTTTATTGTCTGCCCTAAGCCCTCGGGGCGGTGCTCCGATGAGCCTGGCAGGCTGTAAAAACACAACCACACCTAATCATGTTTAAATTATTGGGCCTGAAACCCCCGAGTAACAATGCTGCCGCGCAACAACCAGTTCCGCTCTTCCGTAGTGTGCCACAGAGACAGATACCCGATGAGACTTCCGATGCGATCATCCTCTGCCTCTCATTGCGGCTGCGGCTGCGCGTGCTGCTTACATCGGGGGATGGATGACACCGATGAGCATACGGCTGTGGATGCGATTGTGGCTATGGTCCCGGGGGTTGTGGGTCCAAAAAGTAGGCGGAACAAATCGTCCATCAGTCAATGTAACAGCTTTGCTTTGCCTTGGCCGTTTTTTAGCATCTGAATGCCGTAGACGGCTCTTTGTTCTCCGGCATTTACGGGATTGTGGGATTTTAATTGTCATGTGATTACTGTTGTTCGGTTTATTTTCGGATATTAATGAGTGGGCTGCACACTCTGATTTCCCATATTTTATGTCTCTTTTTTATGCGATTTTATTGGACACATTTTGGGGTTCAAATGGGTCGTTTTTGCCTGTGTTTATTTTTATGGAAGAAGTGTGCCAAAAATATTAAAATGAAACGGAAATATGAGAGAAATTGGTATGAAAGATCAGTAAAGATATCTACTGAAAGGTAAAGGTAAAAGAAGAGACTTAAAGCGATCTTTGGTTCTCTTGAAATGATAATGGTAGAGGTTTCCCCATGGAATGGATAACCGGTGAATATCTAATCCAATCCAATCTATTCGATCGCACTTATCAATCTTTAGCCAACCCATTTAATCATTAAATGTGACTGATTTTCACACCCGTAATTACCCAATCAATGAACCCATTTGGAATGATTTCCAAACCAAACTAAATTGCCTTTTTGCGTAAGAGTCTGCCACAGATTAACTTTTTTGGCCAGGCCATAAACCAAAAACTTTCGGTTAGCGGCAGATATTTTTGCCACATTTCGCACATCGCACGGATGCAGAGAATTCGGCACAAACCGCCGACAAACAGAACAAACAAAAGCTGAACAATTATAACTTAATTTGTGCGCTCATTAGGCACACATGTGCCACACCGCACACACACATGGAAAATGGAGGCTCCACAGAATGGAAATTTTTGGGGGGGGAGGAGCAGGCCACAGGCAAAAACTTGTGTAGCACAAAGATGCGAGGCATCAAACCGAACAAACGCACAGAACACAGGGGATACAGGGGATACAGGGAACACAGGGGATACAGGGAACACAGGGAACACAGGAGAGAACTAAAGAGGCGTTAATACGTTAATTGTTTCATTTCTCTAATCGAATTAAAATCATATCCTGCATATCCTGCCAGCCTGTCAAAATGTGCGTGAAAGGAGAGACAGGAGGAGCAGTGTGTGTGTGTGTGTGTGTGTGCGTGTGCGTGGGTGAGCGAGCAATGGCGTCTGCTGCTGCCTTTTTGGGGTGTTTAATTAGAAAATGAAATGCAGCCACAAAACTCACCCCCCTGATGTTTCAAAGGCGCCAAACTTTGCTCTCAAGGTGCGATTCTGTCTGTGTGTTTTCGTGTGGGTTAGGGGTTCTGGGGCAGGGTTTAATTATGCCAACTTCACACTGACACTTCAAAGCAGATTTCGGATGCCATTGTTTGGGGATACGATGTGTGTGTGTGTGTGTGTGTGTGTGTGGGGGTGTTGGGGCGCCAGAAAGAAGCCTGTCTGGAGGTTGGAAAAGAGACAAGACAAGACAAGACACAACGCGCATCAAGGGTTGCTGTCGTCGCTGTCTTGAGAATGTAAAGGGGAGCTGTCTGGGAGCTGCCAGATTGTGTTCCAGGGCTGACAATCTGACAATCTGGCACTTCAAAGTGTTCTGCGGGAGGGTGGGCCATGTGAAATGGAGTTAATTTAATTAAATAACTTGAGCTGTAGATCTACAGTCTTCTGACTATCAGATATGTATCAAAAATAAGGCAATTGTTTATTAACTCGTTCCCCATCGCTCCCCATTGACCGCACATTTAACCAGTGGCTTTCAATAGCCTGAACCAAGCTGAAGCCCGCGTATAGTTAATTGCATTCACCACTAATTGGTTGCCCCTTCTTCTGCTTCTGCTACTGCTTACAGAATTCATGCAACCGCAGCATATATGGCCTTATCTACAACAAAACTTTATGCAACAACACACACATCAATATCACCAACACCATCAGCAGCAGCAGCAGCAGCAGCTTCCACAGTTGCAACATCCGCATCACCATCAGCCGCATCATCACCATCATGCGCCCGGGCATGCCCATTTTCCGCATCCCGCATTTCTAACGCATCAACTGGCGCCGCATCTACAGCATCCACACCACCCACACCATCAGCAGCAGCATCCCCATGCACACACACAACAGCAGCAGCAACAGCAGCAACAGCAGCAGCAGCAGCATCCTGGCAATAGTTGTCAACCGCAAACCGCAGCGACGACGGCCGCATCCTCGTCGTCGTCACCTGGCAGCACAATTAGTGATAGCGACAACAATCACAGCACCAGCACCAGCAGCAATGGCCAGAGCCAGAACTGTGGCCAGGATGGGCGACCGCATGGGGAGATGGTGGGCATGGGCAATGCAAATGGAGACGAGGACAACGGCAATCGAAGATTAACGCAAGAAAAGCAGCAACAGCAACAGCAACAGCAGCAACTGTTAAACGGTCAAGCTGGTGGCGGCGGGGGTAGCACTGGACACGGTGGCCTTCCCACACCGCCGCCACCACCACCGCCAGCGATTCATCCAGTGATTGCCAAACCCATGCCCAGCCGACCGACCCCATTCCTGCCTCACACCCTCAACCATCCGCACTTGCACTCGCTGCTGGCGCACTGCCGCAATCCCTACATGAGTGGTAAGAGTCCTGGCCCCCAGACCAACCCAGACCACCCGCTGCGCGCATTAACAAGTGTTTTGGTCTAATGCATTTCCTCCCTCAATGTTGCAATTGCAGTTGGCGCCCAAGTGTTTCCCCTGCCGCCGGGCCAGGGCTTTCCCTGGGCCCATTCGACGCGTGGCAAGCCCCGACGTGGCATGATGCGACGTGCCGTCTTCTCAGGTGCGTGGAGTGGGACCGATCCCCAACTGCCCCCAATGGATAATTTATAATTGTTGCTTCCGTTGCAGACTCGCAGAGGAAGGGGCTGGAGAAGCGCTTCCAGCAGCAGAAATACATCAGCAAGCCGGATCGCAAGAAGCTGGCCGAAAGACTGGGCCTAAAGGACTCTCAGGTGAGATTCGATATTGGAGTTTATTTGGGGAGCTTTGGGGATATATATCAACTGGGGGGCATAGCTCAGGGGCAGAGCATTCGACTGCAGATCGAGAGGTCCCTGGTTCAAATCCGGGTGCCCCCTTGGTATATTTTTTTTGTCCATTTCGATATTAATTTATTGCAGAAGATCACGCAGAAGATGGAACACCATTGCGGGGACCACTTTTTGCTGCGGTTTTCTTTGTTTTTTGAATAACTGACATAAACTTTGCTAGCGTAAGGGTTCCTAGCCGTAGAACCTCCTAAATTGGGGAATATTTCCACACGCAAAACTTCATTAGGCCACCTCTTCCTTGTGGTTAATCCCGGAAAGATCGACTTTAAAGGATTCGCAGGCGCGACTTAATATTTAGTTTATATTTTTTTATTTATTTAATTTTATATATATATATCAGTTGGGGGCATAGCTCAGTGGCAGAGCATTCGACTGCAGATCGAGAGGTCCCTGGTTCAAATCCGGGTGCCCCCTTTGTAACTTTTTCTTCCATTTCGATCGATGACATTGCTCCCCAGGCCCTCTTTGATCTCCTCCGCTTTCATTCAACGGAAATCTAATTTAGTTTTGATTTAATCTTTACCCTTTCCACGTAACTTTTCCAAAACCAAACACCCAATTAGCAACGCTCGCTCCCCTCCTGTAATTATTCCACAAAACTTTATCCGCTAAACTCTGGCACTTTGTTGGTGTGGTGTGTGCAGTAGGCAATCCATAAGCAAATCCCTCTGGTGATATGCCAATGAAAAAATCAATAAGCTCCACCAGACTGAAAGCATAATAAGCATAAAATTATGCCATTATGCTCGTAAAATTATATTTAACCGCTTATGAAAATTGCGTTTGGCAAACTTTTCAAATCAGCTTTAATAAGCAGACAACAAAAGGCGACGGGAATATAAAATATACTCGTACCTCGTATCTCGTACTCCTCTTAAAAAACAAAGAGCGAACAATGAAAATAAAACTCCGCCCTGGAACAGGGAGCAAAGCTCTTCGGCTCGGCAATGGCTGCGCAGAGTGGAAAATGGCTGCAAAGGAAGGGGCTCGGGAGTGGGTCTCTGGCACTCGCAGTGGAAGGGGGGCCGTCGAGCAGGGCTGCTGCTCCTTGAAATGCGCAGTCGCTCGGGTCGGGCGGGGCGGTCGTCTTGGGTGGGCGCCAGCCTGTATATGTATATCCCCCACAGCCCACTGGAAAATATATATATAAGAGAGAGAGAGAGAGAGATATATAAGCAAAGGTCGGAGTGCTCTGTGTGGGGCTGTGTGGCGTGGAAATATAATGAAATTATAACGAGCTATAAGAAATTCATTTCGACAGAGACTGTAGCAGTAGCTGAAGCTGAAGCCGAAAAGGCAGACAGACAGACAGACAGCTTTCATTGATTCTCTCTTCTTTTCTGCTGGCCCCTCTGTGTGTCATGCAATAATTAAATTAATTTTTGTAAAACGCAGCTCTAAAGAGAAAGCGCAACGTAGAGGAAGAACCTTTTACGCAGACAAATTTTCACATGTCAGCGAAATTTGCGTGGCCAATTCGGTCTTGTCACAATGTAATCGATCACAACTCAATCACAGACGAAGACTCAGACCCAGACCCAGACACAGGCGCAGACCCAGACCCAGAGCAGACTCAGGAGTTGTCACCACCATTGAAAGGGATGCCAAAAGCCGACGCGACATCTGCGGCAGCCTCCTGATGATGCTGCTGCTGCTGCTGCTGCTGATGACTGACAATGTCATGCCAAATTAGTGCAGCTCTTTTTGTTGTTGTTGTTCTTTCACTAGCATATGATTCATAAAAATTTCATAATTACACAATAAGCGTGTCCAGTTGCATTTCGAAACATGAATTCATCAACTCATTGCACATGTCACGCCCCTCTTTTGGCAACTGGTCGGTCGGTCGGTCGATCGATCGATCACTTACAGCCTAATGATCTTATAATGCCCCTAGGTCTGGGTCGAGCTCGCAAAGATGCAAGCGATGCATTCGATCTAACGCTTGCACTAGCGCTTGCAATATATTCACACAGATTTTGTAATTCTCGCATAAATAAACGTAGATCGATTATTTGCCAAGTGCGGAATTATACAAGTTTTGTTTGTTGTTATGATTGAGTAAGTTTCAGACTTCCCCCTGTAGAAGTGGGTCATAAATAGCTGCTCTAAATCGTTTGTACTTGCAGTTGTTTGCGTCGTATGGCAGGCAGCGTCTAGCTCTAGACAGTTCTACGACAACTGTAAACTTGTTGACCAGCAAGAAAAAGATACGCAAAACTTAATAGAATCAAAGGGAAAGTTTTTGTAGAATTAAATCCCAAGTCAGGTTTTTATTTAAAACCGTTTAATGCTAGTAAACATTACTGCCGACTAAGGAAAAAGATCAGCCACACATATGGGGTTCCTTTGACAGCTGCTTTCTGCTGGGCCCTTACTATTATTTTATGATTATTGCCCCCACGTTTGGGTCATAAATCTTGCAGTGAAAAGTTCAAAGCATTCATCAATTGCAGTTTGTCAAATTGTAAAAATGGAAAACGTAAAAAAAAGCTAGAAAATGGAGAAAATGTCGACGGTGACAAAAACAAAAGGGGGGGACTGGGAGTGGGGTGGTAGTGAAGTAAAGCAGAAGCAACAAAAATGTGCAAAAATGTCAGAAAAATTCGCAATCATATCGCAGCGGGTGTCCAACTTGCGGTAGCTGGACCCAGCAATGGGCCTGGGACCTGGGACCTGGAACCTGCTACCCAGGACAAAGGACACACAAAGTGTTGGCCAGCCGGCGGCGATGACGACACCGAGAGCTGAGAGCTCCATTAACGACTGCTGCTTCTGGAGGGCTGTGGGGGCTGTGGGGGCTGTGGGTCTGTGGGTCTGTGGGTTGGGGGGAGACTGGACAACGGTTCGAGTGCTGCTGGTGTGGGTGATGAACGAGTGCGGATATTCACACTCGAGTGACACAGGTTGAGTGGGTGTATGGGTGAGTTTGGGTGTGAGTGTGTGTGCGTGTGTGTGTGTGTGTGGGAGGAGTGTGAGTGGATTGCATTGCGCCTAGTTGTATGCAACATGATTTAAGAGCCTTCATCCTTCGTTGTGCTGCACTTTTTTGCGGCCATTTGTTGTTCATTTTGCTGCAGCCACCTCCCCCCACAGCACCCACTGCTGTGTGCCATAAATATTTCTCATATTGCACTGGGCCTACGGTGGCCTGCAGTGGACCCATGGACCAGGCGCCTGAGAGATGACCAGAAATGGTGTCGGGGTCGGGGTCGGGTCCATTGTCGCGTGCCTTGTGGTCGCTCGCCAAACGTTGCATTGATGATGGTGAATGGTGAAGCTGCTGAATGCTGGCTGCGGATTCAGGTGATTCATCATTTCGAGTGTTGTTCATTGCAACGTTTATTGCGATTTTTACAAACGCACTCGAGAAATCGCCTGGCCAAAAACCGCGTGCGTTTATTGCAGCCAAACGCGATTTATGGGCGACTTTCTGGTCTGCTTTTTTTTTCGCTCCATCCTCCCCCGTTCTGTGCGGAATGCAAGTCACGTGCAAAGGCGTGGCCGAGTACCTAATGGTTATTAACTGTTAGATCGGAGTGCATAAAGCAGTGCGAATGGCAGGGGCTGCAAATAAATGGGAAGGAAAATACTCTTGGAATTTGTGCAGGAATGAGTGTATGAATGTGCCTCGCAGCTTCAACAGTTGATAAATCAGAGATATTTCTGGGCCAAGTAATCGAATCAGAACACCAAAAACCACCATCTTCACGGCTTAAGCTTCTTCTGTGCTGAGTTCCCATCGTTTGCAACCACACCCTCCAACAATACCACACACTCTGTCCATCAGTCACGCCCTCTTCGCAAGGCAGTGCAACTGACAGTTACCAGCCTCATAATCCGCTCGCTATAAATTTAATTGCCATTAATGACACTTCAGATGAAAGAGCGAAAGAGCTGGCTGGCTGGATCCTGTCTGCAGGCGCCTGCCAGACCCAAAACAGCGGAAATGAAAACATCTTGAGGCTAAATTGTGATTTGCATTTTTAAATCAATACACAAAAGGCCATGGACCAGGAGCTTAAGGAGTCGCGAGGCAGCATGATATTCCCGTGCAACCCCCGCAGACACGCACACGCACACGTGTCTGGCGGGCGGGGGACTCTCTTCCTCGCTCTTGCTCTCCGGCAACTTTTTAAGTGTCATGTCCAAAACAAATTCGTCTGTTTTTGATTTGTCGAAAAATGGGGAACAAGAAAAAAAAATACTCGTAAACCAGAACCAGAATACCAGAGCGGAGCGTATAAAGGATAAAGGATAAAGGAAATTCCCGCCAACGCTCGGCAATCAACTGTGGAATCTCCCCGACTGTGTCTCTGTGTCTCTCTCTCTCTCTCTCTCTCGGACTTTCTCTCTCTCTTTCCCTCTATATACGAGTGTACGGCACTTTTGGCATTTTTCACGTTATAAATATTTTTATTTTCATTTCGTCTGCCTTGTCTTTTGTGTGGAGTGTGGAGTGTGCATTGTGGACGGCGGCTGCCGTTGAGAGAGGGGGGATTAACCAGACTTTTCCAGAATTTTGTTTTTATTTGGTTTGTGATTTCGATTTCTTTCGTTTGGCGGGGGCTTTAAATCAATTCGAATGATAAATAATCCCTGAATGGGCATCCCCTTTTTGCTGCAGACCGCAGAATATTTAACACACTCTGGGTTCTGGGTCTGGGTTGGTCTTTTGTGATATTTGCTTTGTTTTTTATGAGCCTTGTTATCCTTTTTAGTAGCTGCCAAATAATGATTATCTTATATAAAGCTTAGGATAGTTTTCGGAGATGCCAAACAACATACATTTATATATTTTATGACTCCTACTTTTATTTTTTATTTAATATTTTGTACAGTTTTTTGAGCTCTTAAAGTTTATCTGCAACAATAACCAATCGTAACTTATGATATCTTTATTTATAGCCACAAAACTATAAGCTCTTTACGTAGTACTCCCCTTTCCCCTTTCCATCTGTGAGTTTCCATGCATCCAAACTATTGTAAGTCAACTTTTGCCTTGAGATATCTTCAAGTTCCTGCGCTCCACATAAAGTTTGTGGATTCCCCATTAATACGAAATCAATTTACATTTCCATCTCACTTGTCTGCAATCAAAGAACACTTAAACACACCCGAAACATGCTCATAACTCAAATTTCATTCCAATTTGCCCTCCAATTCCTGCTGCTCCCTCGCACCCCTCGTGCACCCCTCGTGCGCGCAAAAACGATTGAGGAACATTAAAAACCATCATTTGCAGCTTTGGTTACAAAATAAATTGTTGACAAATTGCTAAATAAATGCTCGCCCCGCCACAATGCAAAGTATTTGGCAAACACTTCCAACTGCTGGACCCTCAACTAAAACAATAACCACAACGAGGAGCGGCAGGAGCAGGAGCAGGAGCATGTCTGTTTGGTTGGATAGGGGAAGGACAAATGGACAGATCGACCATGGTAGGATGGCCAGTAACCCAAAACGCACTGCCAACTGCTGTTGAAATGACTTTGGCAAATAGTAGCAGACTATTTAATACGCTATTATGCCGCATATCGAATGACATTTGGGGGGCCGAAATGGGTTGACAGCAGCCCAGCAGCCCACCACCGAGAGCAGTCCAACCATCCCGGATGCCAGCCTCATTAGTTAACATATGTTGCCCCGAACGAGATTGGCAGAAGTCACAATCTCGAATGGGGTTGGAGACTCCATTCTCATTCCCATCTCCAGTCCATTCCATCCTCCCCCATCGCTACAACAGCTTGTGCTCATTGCCCAAAGTCAATTTTCGGGCAGCAAAAAAGTAGTAGAGCGAGCGGACAGAAGGGCGGCAGGGCAGGGCAGGCCAAGCCGCACTTGGCCCAAGCAATTTGTAGCCAACTGACTGAACGACCCGCTTACCCACTCCCACAATAGTATAAAAGCCATCCCATGCCATCCCATTCGACTCTCTCTGCTGGCTGGGTGGTTTATAAAAACTTCAAACAAATTCCATGCGCGTTATGCTGGCAGCGTGTCAGAAAAATATGTTACTTATCGTTTTGGCTTACTCTCCACGCTCCACGCTTCACGGCATGGGAATGGGAATGCCGAGCATAAGGGAGCACAGCATAATATTGTATGTGTGGGTGGGTCCTTAACAAACTGGGCAAACAGCTTAGCCGGAATCGCGCTTAAGAACTTCATTTGGCTGTGATTGAAATGATAATTGAAATAAAAGAGATAAAGATTAGCAGAGAGAAACTTAAAGCAGCATCTAATATCAAGCAGCAGTAAAAGTCTGGCAAAGTTTAATCTTTTACTCAACTAATCTTCAGGGAAGCTTTATTGTTCCGCCCAAACATAAACTCTATTTTATAATCATCATCCCTGGATTATTGCCCACTTAGCAAAGCCATTTAATTCCTATTCGAATAGCGCTTTGGGAAAACATTTCCCTAATTACGAGGAAAAACAATTGAATTTTAGTTGTTGTCGCCACCATAAATATTTGCATAAATTTAATTATTTACTGACCGGCAAAAATTAAACAAATATTTTTGTGTTAGACAATAATTATATGTATGATGTCCGTACCCGGGTTTGGGGGCAGGGGCACAGTCGTCGTTACAAGGCCAATATTTGTTAACAAGCCGGAGAGTACGATAGAACTAAACTCGGAGTCGTTTCGGTACCCATTGAATGCAATTGATATTTATGCAATTTCTATACGATACGAGTTGTGGGTTGAGCTATTTCCGTTGCGGAATAATTACAGCATATACACTCGTACACATCGGGATCGGGTTAATTGGAACTGGTTCTACTCCAGACTCGTGCGTAATCTTTACTTTCTTCGTTGCTGTTGTGTCCGAAGGCAAACATCATAATTTCAAGCTCATTAAACTTGGAATGCTAGCGCGAGAAAGTATAAATAGAAAAGTCTGCGACAGAACGGAAGTACGCGGGCCAATTTTCCGAGCCGCCTCTCTCTGTTTCTCTCTCTCGCTCTCTCTTTGGCATACTAAATTGCACGCTTTATAATTAATTTCCATCAGAAACAGACGATGACGATGACGACGGTGGCCATTCGGTGGCTAGAGCAAAGTCTGTCCCCCCAGTTACGACTGACTTTGGGCTGGACCCATAATCATTAATCTTATCGCCGCCTGAGCTTATTATTTCAATTGCTTAGGGTATGGGGTTGATGGCTGGTGGGCTGCTGGCTTGGTGGCTTGCTGGCTTGACGCTGGAAAACTCAATGACCGGAAGTAAGCGGAACAGCAAACTGAAAACATTTCTGGCACGTGTCCCCTGGGTTCAGCTCTGATGTCGAAGAAATCTCTGCGGTTAATCGCTTGTTTAACATGTCAGCAACTTTTTTGTTGGCGCCACTCTTTGCTTAGTTATTTATAAATGTTTAGAGATTAGGGGTGTACGAGTAGGAGTGGGAGTGGGAGTGGAAGGCCACTCGCCCGGCAATGGCTTTCCATTTACCAATTTCACGCATCAATTTGCTTGCAAATTTCACATCAAGTCACAATCTAATTACCGAAGAAGGAGTGCTGTGATGTGAGGGACTGGCACTGGGACGGGGACGGGGACCTACCATAAATTGTTGCAAATTGTTTGGCTTTTGCAACAAAGTGCGAATGTCCTGCTGTGTCATAGGCAGCAACAGCAACAGGAACAGAAACAGAAACAACAAGGACGCAACACCCACTGCATAATAACTCACAAACAGTCGCCGAGGTGGTGGGCCAAGGCACAGTCCATGTCCAGGGTATCCTGCAAATCTGCTTCAAGTGTCTGTGCCGCTGCGCTGCTTGCCTGTCAAATGCAGCAAGCAACAGGGGGACACACAGATACAGAGAGAGAAATGGAGACAGAGAGATGGTAAACTTACAGCATATTTGCTGGACCAACTTTTTGGGGCCCTAAACAGTGGGCACAGAATCAGTCTGCAAGGGCAGGGAAAACCTTCAACATTTCCCGCCATTTGTTGGCCCCTTCGCAGCACTTTATTTGCCCCACTGTGCGGCCTCTAATCAATTTGTTGCCGCTTTTGGGGAAATGTCTCTAATTTGCATTTATTATGGATATGCACGGCGTCTGGCGCTGGCATTGCAGTTCAAACTTTTCCTCTGGCCAGGGCCACGCCCACACACACGACAACATAGCCCAGAATGGAATGGTGATTGGGGGATTGGGGGGTGGGCGGTGGGTAGGTGGATTGTAGATTCAATTTGCCACAGAAAAGTTTTTTGTCAGGGGAAAAAGTTTGTTTTGTGAGCGGAAAACGTTGAAGGAATTGGAACGCATCCGCCCCTGTGGCCATGAAAAGTTTTTTGGGTGAAAACTACAGCCCGATGCTGCCACATCCCTTCCTGGTCTGCCTGCCTGGTCTGCCTGCCTGGTCTGCCTGCCTGGAACAGACAGCTTTCCATCCGAAGATGGACAGTCTTAATTTACCCATTTCATTGCAAGATTGAATCCATATCCATATCTGAATCGGTTTTATCTCCTCCCCCTTTTCGTTTGCAGGTGAAAATTTGGTTTCAGAATCGCCGGATGAAGTGGCGAAACTCCAAGGAGCGCGAGCTGCTGGCCAGCGGCGGTTCCCGCGACCAGACGCTGCCCAACAAGAACAATCCCAATCCGGATTTGTCCGACGCCAAGTGCGATCGACCCCTCACACCGATCTCACCCTCCCTGCTCTCGCCCAATGGCAGCATCACGCCGCCGCCCGGCGCCAGTGCCAGTGCCATTGCCAAGGACGAACCGCCGCCGGCTGCTGTCACACCCAAATCACCGCAGTCCGTCAGCAGCAGGAGCTCCCCGTGTCATCCCTCTGCGGGATATGCGGGCATGCAAATGAGCTCGCCGCCCCCTCTCCTCACCAGCCTCAAGATGAGCGATCAGTCGGGCACGCCCACGCCCACGGGCGGCTCAGGGGGCGGAGCAGGCACAACGGTTTCATCGGCTGCCTCGTCGCCGCCGGGTGCGAGCAGTGCGGCCGAGTTTCAGGCCAAGATCAATGCCGAGATGCAGAAGCAGCTGGTGGCCGCCGACCTCAAGTTCAAGCTGGAGAGCAGCATCCAGGAGGCGAAGCAGCGGCGATTCGAGCAGCTGCAGCAGCAGCTCCACCACTCGCCCCACTTTACGGCCATGCGAGAGGTGGAGCTGGCAGCCGCCGCAGCAGCCGCACAATTGCACCACCATCACCAGCAGCAGCAGCAGCAACAGCAACAGCAACAGCAACAGCAGCAGCAACAGCAACAGCAACAGCAGGGGTCAGAGTTCATGAAGCTGTACTACGACGACTACGATGACTCCAACTCCGACAGCGATGAGGAGATCAGCGTGACGTGATTCCGGAGACGGGGGATCACTGTAAATATATATTGTGTACTTACGTTTTAATTGTAAATTTATTGAAGCATTCAAATTAATGTATTTAATATGTGTATAATATTTTTTCGAATTTAAATTCCCAAACGAAATAAACTTCTTTGAAAAATCCAAAAAAAAAACTGCATAAAAATCGAAAGAAAACTTGAAATCTACACGATGCAGTGTACATGTAGAGTACGCTACGCGTAGAGTACGTTGTAGAGTACGTTGTAGAGTACGTTGTAGAGTATTTTACACGTAGAGTACGCTTCATGATAACTACATACATGTACATACGAACTACACAATTTACATGAAAATCGAAAATCAAAAATAAAATTGGAAATTTTTGGTTTAGGCATCAGCAGTGGGCTGAATCAGGAATATATATATATGTATGTATGTATGTATGTATGTATGTATGTATATATTTGTGTTTATTTGCTTAAAACTTAACTAAAGGTAAATTCACTTTTGTGCTAAAATTAGTAAGATTTGTGTGTGTGTGTGTGTGTGTGTGTGTGTGTGTGTGTGTGTTTGTACACAGAATACTGTGTCGAAGATTGCTCTCTGGGGGGGCTGGTGGGGGGATTGAACTTAAAACTAAAAATCACTCTTGCGACTAAGCTAGGACAGTTAGGATTGCGACTGGTATTTTTGTACATAGAGGTTGCAAGTTGCACACAAGGAATACACGCGGGAGTGTGCGTGGAGTGGAGTGGCCTGGGCATGGGATACCCAAACCCAAACCCAAATTCGATTCGATTTCTACTCTATTCATCGTCGATGCGTATGGCATGATTCACATGCCCCTTGTCACCTGCCGTCTCTTTGGTTGTGGTTGTGGTTGTGGCTAGGGTCGGGTCTGCCGCCGTGGTGCTGGTCGTGGTGGTGGTGGTTATGGTGCTGTTGGTGGTGTACTGCACTTGGGAGTCGTCGCTCTTGAAGACCTCCTCGGAGACGGCTTCATTGTCGATGCCGCCCTTGCCGGTGATCTTCAGGACATTTCGTCGCTGATTAAAGTCAATTATCAGGGAGAGGAGCCAGCCCAAGAACACTGTCAACAGGCATCCGATCATGCTGTACCACATATAGCTCAGCCGGAAGATGGGCCAGGAACTGTAGGGATTCGCATCAAATCGATTCGTTTAAATAAAAATTGAAATGAAAGTGGAAGTGGAATAAATCGAAACTCACGTGAATCCTTCCTGCTGAATGGGATGCATTGATTCGGTGAGCAAACCCTCGATAATGCTGGTCAAATTGACATGACAATCGCAGTGCTCGATGGATGTGGCCAGTGGGGGCGACTCCACGCTGGCTATCTGTGCCACCACACCCACAAAGATGACCAGTGCCAGCGAGAGGAGACCGCCATAGAAGGCGCCCTTGGTGTTGGCCTGCTTGCAGGCAATCCCGAGCACAAACAGACCCAAGGTGACGCCGCCGATGAGGCCATTCAATGTGAGCGTCGCCTGCAGCACGCCGCCCAGATGCTCCACAATGAACACCAGACCGAAGGAGGCAATGCCATAGCCCAGGGACATCCACTTGGCATAGGTGGCTCCCTTCTCCGGTGAGATTTTGATGTTCATGCCATTGACAAGCAGATCCTCGCAGGTGACAGCCGACAGGGAGTTCAGGGCCGATGCCACAGTTCTGAATGGGAAGAGACAGGAGAGTATCAGTGATGTGATGCAGTTCCTGCAGCCAGTGACTGAGTGGTGTGCGGTGTGCGGTGTGCCTACCCCAAACTAGCCGCAAAGATTCCGGCAACGAAGATGCCCGCAATGGAGTAGATGTGCTCGTACGTATTGATCACGTAGAAGGGCAGCAGCTGGTCCGTGGCCGAGATGCGACCCGCCGTCAGGGGATCGCAGCCGGCATAGTGGGTGAAGACCATCAGGCCCGTGTAAAAGTTGAGCAGAAAGACAACAATCAAACCGACGATGGCAAAGCCCAAGGCGATCTTGGCCAGCTTCAGGGACTTCAGGGACATGCACTTCTGGACGGAGGCCTGGTTGGTGCAGAACAGCGACGTCCAGTAGAAGAAGCCGCCAATGACCACAGACCAAACGGTGTGACGGGTCGTCGGATCGGGGTCCATGCTGCAGGAGTGCAAACGTCAGAACGAATATCCCAGCGAGTTTCCGCGTGTTCAACTTACTTGAAGAACTCCAAGCGATTGAGTTCGGCGGCCTTCTGAAAGACCTGGATGGGCGTGCCGCTGTAGTAGCTGCCGAGACCGACAATCAGCACGAGAGACACAGCCAGGACAGCAGCCTGAAGAGGAACGAACGATAAAGGTTAGCCAGCGGATCCTCAGAGTTTTGCTTGCATCATTTACCTGGAATGTGTCCGCTATGACCACAGCCTTCATGCCGCCCTGCGACGAATAGAACACGCAGACCACATAGATCAGGACGACAGCGATCTTGGTGTCCAGCCCCGTGGCCTTGGACAAGGCAATGGCTGGCGCGAGCACAGCCACAGCGGTGTAGAAGCACATCTAATGGAGCAAGCAAAGGAAAGATTAAACACAAAGTTCTGCCTTGGAGGAGAGAGAGGATCTCCTGGCGCACCTGTATGACATAGAGTACTGCGCCCAAGATGCGGATCTCCTTGCCGAAGCGTATGCCCAGGTACTCGTAGCAGCTGGTCAGCTCCATCTTGAAGTAGATGGGATAGAAGATCTTGACGGCCACCGGTATGACCAGCACCATGGGTATCACAATCAGGACGAACTGTGTGCCCTGGAAGTACATCTCGGATGGGTTGCCCAGCAGCTCGATGGCCGTGATGAAGCTGGTCGTCAGGCTGAGGGTAACGGGGAAGATGCTCATCTCGGAGCCGAGCAGAAACTCGTTGGAGGAGCTGCCGCCCTTCTGGAAGAAGCCGTAGAAGATGCCAATGCCCAGTGAGATGACCAGCATGCCCAGCAGGATCACATAGTCGTAGCCGGAGAAGGTGGGCTTGTGGCTGGGCGCGCTGCACTCCTCCAGTCCATCCGGCGAGGTGGTCTGCTGCGACTTGTAGGCCTGCAGCAGCAGCGTTGCCGCATTATCAAAGTCCACATGCTCCTTGGAGGCGCTGGCAGGACTCTCGCCCCGCACAATCAGATACTTGTGGCTGGCATCCAGCGGGGCGGAGCCCGATGCGGCTGTCTTCTCCTGCAGCGCATAGGCGGTAATAGAATGCGCCAAGGCGCAGAGGGTCAGCAGCTTCAGTATGGTATCCTGGGTGGCGAACATCCTGCCAGGGACTGCGAACGGGCAACAGCAACAACTGATGGGACAGACACCTTGGGTCACGCTCTCCGTCTAAGGCCCCACAACGTTATGGTCGAACTGAAATGGCATAGAGCACAAGCGAGACGGTTTAGATCATGGCAAGATCAAGGTTCTCGAAAAGAAATTGCACCAAAGGCGGCGGCATCAATGGGTGGGTGTCGCTTGGGCTGCCATTAATTAATTAAGCGAACGATCCCCCACAAAAAATTCCTCCATCTGACGGAACTGTGTGTTTGTAGGGTGGGAGGTGGGGGGCTGGCTACGAGCTGGACGGGCCATTGGCCACAGCCTCCCATGCTCAAGTACAAATATATTATTTCCTTAAACAAACAATTCCATTTGGGTGTAATTGCTTTATTATTAATATGTTTTCGTAATGGACGACGACGACGACGACACTTTCGTTCAAGGCGAAAAACTTTTGTAAATTATTTTCGGGGGAGTGGGAAAAGGGGGTTCGTTAGGCCTGAAAACCAACTAAGCCAATAGACCATAAACTACTTTTAGGAGTAAAGATCGAGCCATGATCGTTTGTTCCATGGGATTAGCAATGAGTATAATTATGTATCAAGTCTGATTGAACATAACATATTTCCAGCAGCCCAAGACATTACACAAACGATTGATATTCGCGTTCAATTTTTAAATCATAGAGCACTGATTTTGCCATCGATAACCCACCAGCACCCATACATACGAATCAATCAGCGATCCAATTGATTCCAACACTCTGTGACAATCATTTAAATCAAGCGAACTTAGCGCTATAGAGCTTCTCCTGCTCTGCTCCAAATTTTCCAGCCAATTTCAAGCTATTAAAGAAAATCTGCTCCTGTGGCACAAACACACACACACACACACATAGAAATGCAATACGGAAACACTCACACTGAGATACTGAGAAAGAGGCGGCGCAGACGAGACGGACAGCAACAAAGTTGTGAGCGAAAAGTGATAAATGCTCCCGCGCCACAAAATTGAGATTTAAGCGAATTTAACTGGTTTATATCAGTGGCTTGTGGCTTGAGCCGGATTGCGCCGGTTTTGGCCAGAAATTTGCCATCCATCGGATACGATCCGAAGAGAGCTACTGCTGGGCAAGGCCTGGGGCGAAGAGCAAGAGTAGAGAGCGGAGCAGAGCAGAGCACCAAGGTGTCTTCATGGAAGAGCGGCGGCCCAATCGAAAAGGTTCCCCCGAACACAGAGGTGGGCCGGGCACAAACACGTTTCCCCCCATCTCTGGAGACAGTATTCTTTGTAGTACACGGGTCGTATGCGTTCTGTGTGCTGTTCTACGAGCGCTTAATTGGTGGGGAGGCTTGGGGCAACACCACCGACCAGAGCAAATATCATCTTTGTCTTTGTCTTTGTCATTGTCTTTTTCCTATAGCTCGAACTTGTCTCCCTGCCAATTGATAAGCGTTTGTTTTGTTGTGGGGCTTTGCTATGTCTGGAATTTTTGTTTCTGTGTCTGCTTTGGCTTTTCGATTTGTTTCGGTTTATTTTTTATTAATATTCATATAAACAAAATAAACCATTTGACATGATTTCTGGCATGGGTTCCATGGATGCCAGCTGTGGTAAGATAGTGCCAGCCAGCAAAGCACACAGCGCTCCTCGCCAATTGATGCTGCGGGTGAAACTTGGACCTTGGAACAAATTTGAATAAAGGTCGCCCAATAGGAGGGGGTGGTAAGGGGAGGGGATAGGGTTTGGCTAATTAGCCAGAGTCGTTAATGGGTCTGAGAGTCGTTAATCTGAGATGTTCGACAGTTTTGCTTATTGATCGATTTATGGGCTCGCTAAATTGATTTCAGCTGGTTTTGTTTTTTTTTTTTTTGCTTTCAGAACTCGCAAGAAAGTAATAATTTGTTGCCTAATTTTTAACTAGGTTTTTAGGGATAATAAAAACACACAAGTCAATGGCATACAATTGAATTTGTCACTCCTTCTAAGTGGCACGTATTAAATGAAAACTACTTACATAAATAACGAGAGTTCAAAAATTAATAAAGTCAAATATTAATTGGTGTAGAAAGTGTGATTAATTTGCATCTTATATGCATAAGGAGAGAAAGGTCAACGCAATGCCGCTTTCACCTGAGTATTAAATTACTTGCTCACCTTGATGCCGAATTTCTCAGTCCTTAAATTATATTTATTTATTCGCTGTCGTCTTTCGTTTAGCACTCAGGTGGATAGGCACATAGAGAATTGTGTCTTAGAAATGTTCTGAATTGTATTTGCAAGATGGTGCCTTGATTATTTCTGTATTTCATTAACGTGTTTTTATTTCTTATTTGGAATTCACCAAGCGAATATACTGATTGATCACTTATATTTTAACTTTGGCTATTATTATGCCCTTTTTGAGCGGGTTGTCCTTTGTGAAATTGTTGAACTTTGAGCACTTTTCCTTTGATCGTATTTTCACTGGGTGGGGTTCCAATCGCAGTTCGAACGTATTGACAATTTTCAAATGAATGACTTTTGCAAGCGGCCGTTACGCTGTTTTATACGAGAGCCAGGCAGGCACCCGGCAGCCAAGGCAGCGCCAAATCACAAATCACCGAGCGTGCCCCAGCTGCGGGAACCCCACTTAACGGGCTCCGGCTCTCTCTTTCAAGTCTTTGGGCGCCAAAGAAAGAGCGAAGATCGAACTAAGAGCAAGAGCAAGCGCAAGCCTATCGACGCCGGATATGCCATCGCCGATCTCCACAAGCTTCGTATAGTTGCTCGTATAGTAGAGATCCGAGAGCAAGAGCGCAGCTGAATCGATGACAGTCGATTGTGAGCGTGACGGAAAATCTTATTTAAATGCAACTTTTTTTATAGCATGGCTTACAGTCAAGCACTTCCTTGATACATGGGGATTACGAAAGATTGAATGCCCCCAATTCCTTACTCAATCTGTAACTCTAGAACATTTTCAGCTCAACTTTGTTGTCATATCTAGGTAGTACCTAGAAACCTAGTTGGTGTTATCACACAAACAGCGCCGTGATCTTAAATGTGTAGGGAAATTCGTTCCACTGAATGTAATGTGATGTAAAACGTGGCTAAAACTATTGGTAAAATATAAATAAACTAGAGAAAGATAAACTGCTGGCAGTCATGTTATAATGTGAGCCATATACTCGTACTGAACTGAACTGAACTGAACTGAAAATGCAATAAAGTGGAATCGCATGAATCATCCATTAGCATTTCGTAGAACTCTCTGCAGAAGTGGCAGAGCATACCAAAAACAACTTCAAATGGTAAAGGGGGAGGACAGTTGCGTGGGGGGGGGGGGCTAAATGCTAAAGGAAATGCGTTGTAAACAAAATACAAAAAGTTTAATTGTTAGGCAACAAGATGTTAAGTTTTCTTAGTTACTTTTGGCTCGCGTGATGGATGAATGGCTGTGGATGTGGATGTGGATGTACATGTACGCAGGCACGAGTGTATGAATATTTTCTTTTATTACTTTTTAAGTAAACTGAGACACCAGTCACAAAGGAACAAAAAGTGCGCCAATTAATAATGTGCCTCTCGATTTTATCACTCATTTTTTGTTGCTTTTGTTTTTGTTTTTGTTTTGTGTGCGAGTTGTCTCGCCTCGCCTCGCCTCAATTGCCTTGCCGCTTGGTTATGTCTTACTTGGATAACGACGATAACGAGTTCGATCTGGTATGATATTGATCAGATATTTCTCTTTCTCTCCCTTTCTCTTAATAGAAAATTATTCGTTTGGAATTATTTCTGGCGAGTGTGCTTAATTCTAATAAAAATGTAATGTTTACTGGAATTGAAATGCGCCGGTTGGCGGCGGTTGGTTCAAAAAAGTATCAATCACCATAAATTCACATTGGAACTGCGGTACGGTGCGGGTGCGGGTGCGGGTGCGGGTGCGGTGCGGTACGTGGAATTGATGGGGGGGAAAACAGTATGATCAGCCAGATCAGAAGAAGATCAACAAATTAATGTCAAATTTATTAGGTGCGCTTCACCGCCAGCGGAAAGTCACCAAAATATAGCGCCTTGGCCTAAGGTCAGTGTGGATAGCACCTGCCGGCTGGCTGATGCAGAGATTACCCAGGGCAGTGGCATTGATTATGGCTATGCAGTTGAGCTTTGAAGCGTGTTGCATTAATTAAATATGCCCGCCATACAGTTAACTAACAGCCAGCTGATGTAAATCTTGGCCATTCCACTAGCCAGCCGAAAGCAGTTCAAAGCAGTTTGGCAAATGCGACGCAGTGTTTAGGCCCGAAACGATCTAACAACAGCAGCAACCACGGAAAGTGTATTTACATATAAGATGCAAGCACATCCACTTGAAACGTCACAAAACTGGTCGAGCCTCTCGCTGCTCCCATGACATGTGAGTGTGTGTATGATTGGACTTTGGCCTGTTAGGGCCGGCGGTGGTTGTCTCTTTAAGAACAGAACCAGCTGACCACACGTGCTGCGTGCGTGCTGTCGTAACGAACAAACAAACGCAATATCAATCAAAATATCTTTTGGAATAAATTCCCTATTTGCTGTTATTCAACATAACTCGTATTACACAAGAACACAAGTCTGCCAACGAATAATATTTATGAATTGTCTGAAAGAAAGCGTAGTAGTCAATTATTTATAACATTAATGATTGTGGGCGTTGACATTGCTAAAATATGCAGCCGGCTCGACTCGGCTCGGCTCGTCTTATATGTATCGTTAATTGGTGTCTCAATTAGTTGATGGCTTCATATTAGGGGGTGCTAAGTCATCGCACTTCCGTCATTCAGACTTTTAAAACAAATCAAATTTTACCCAAGCGGATCTGAAGATGATTCATTTTGAATCTCCTTTTGAAACGGCCAGGCTATCGCCGCCTTATCGTTATCGTTTACGATAGCATCGGTATTTAATATTATATTTCATCAATTTGTTGGTATATTTATCCGATAAATCCGCGGTCACACTGGTCGGCAATTTCTCGTAAAAATAAATACAAATTTTATAAAATTGTATTAAATTTGAACACAAAATGAGTGCTCCCGTAGCCCCTTCGGGCATTCAGAGCACTGCGGGTGCGATTCCCGTACGCAATGAGAAAGGTAGGTCAATGGAATTGCGGTGCGGTCTTGTAATTGTTTACAATGATTTTTTCAGGCGAGATTTCCATGCAGAAAGTTAAAGTCCAGCGATATATATCTGGCAAGCGTCCTGACTATGCCCGCGTCGACTCCAGCTCGGACGAGAGCGACGACGATGACTTCATTGACACACGAAAGCGCATGGAGCGCCACAAGGCTGAACGCCACAAGATGGAGCTGGCCCGACGGGGCAAGGCCGACGGTAAGGCTGCCGAGGACGGAGATGAGGCCGAGGTGGATGATGCACGTTTGCGACGCCTGCGTGCACGCCCCGTGGATATGGAGGACATGGAGCGGGAGCGAAGGGAACGCCACAGACACATCCACGAGCCCGAGATGATGGAGAGTGATAGTGAGGAGGAAGAAGAGGACGCAGAGCAGCAGAAGAACCTCGAGCGGGGGACCAACAAGATTACACTTGCCTCCGAATCCGACACAGATGCGGAGCTGAGTGACACGGAAATGGAGAGTCGGCGCACAAAGCTGAGGGCGAGAATGCTGCAGCAGCAGCGCGAGGAGGAGGTGCTCCAAAAAGAGGATGAAAAACAATCGGAATCCTCGGAAACAGAGAGCTCCGAATACGAAGAGGAAAGCGAAAGCGAGGAGGATAACGAGCCGCGTCTCAAGCCGCTGTTTGTAAGGAAACGAGATCGTGCGACCATCCAGGAAAAGGAACGCGAGGCCCAGAAACAAAAACAAATGGAGGCGGAGGCCAAAAGAGCGGCCAAAGAACGGAGGCGTGCCACCCTGCGAATGGTGGAGGACAGCGTTAAGAAAGACCTGGATAAGACCAAGCCAGAGTCGAATGAAGCCTGCCTTGAAGATGTGTGCACCGACGATGACAACGACGAGGTGGAGTACGAGGCTTGGAAGCTTCGCGAGCTCAAGCGAATGAAACGAGATCGAGAAGAGCGCGACAAGTGAGTATTCTCGTAAAGTACACGTACATAATTCTGAACCACAACTAAATGTTTTAATTGCAGCACCGAGCGGGAGAAATTGGAAATCGATCGGGTACGTGGTCTCAACGAGGAGGAACGACGCCAGGAGCTCCGGCAGAATCCCAAAATGGTCACCAACAAGGCCACCAAAGGCAAATATAAATTCCTGCAGAAATACTATCATCGCGGTGCCTTCTACCTGGACGAGGAGAACGATGTGCTGAAACGTGACTTTGCCCAGGCCACGCTGGAGGATCACTTCGACAAGACCATCCTTCCCAAGGTGATGCAGGTGAAGAACTTTGGTCGCTGCGGCCGCACCAAATACACACATTTAGTGGATCAGGACACCACGAAATTCGACTGTCCCTGGTATGCGGAAACATCGAACAACATCAAGTTCCACAATGAACACGCGGGCGGCATGCGGCAGCAGTTTGACAAGCCCACAGGATCCAAGCGAAAGAAGTTGGAGTAGACAATAGGCTCAATCTTATGATGTATTTAGTAATTGCAAATAAAGTAACATGGAATATATGTGTATATATATATATATATGTATACGAGTATGGCCACAAAAAACAAGGAACAAAAAAATATTTACGAAAATGAGACTCAAATTTGTACTTTTGGGTCGTTCAACAGCGCCAGATTATGCTGCACCAGGGTCTTCATGATGCCCTCTGTGGTTATGTACTGGACATTGGAATGATTACGCAAGAGTCGCTTGTGTCGGTTGATATCCTTGGCCACAGCTATGACATACAGCTTATGTTCCAGCACAGGCGGCTTTGTGTACACCCTGCCACCAGCACTTTCAATGATGGCTAAAGGGGAGGCAAACGCACGTTTTAGTACCGAGGGAAAAATAATTCAATTTGTATATAGAGAACTTGCCTTTCATTTCTTTTTCATTCGGTTGGATACCCTCGCATAGCATAAAGTTTAAGCCACTCAACAATTGGGGATGCTGCAGTGCCATTAGGGGATCGAATTTGTACAACTTTTCGAAGTTGGAATCGGAGAAGAGATGTTCCGCCTCCACGGTTGCACGGGACGTTGCCCTCATGGATTGAAGCCAGGAACTGGACAGTATCGGTTTATTTGCAGCCATTCCCACCAGGAATTTGTACGTGCGATCACCCTTGTCCATGATGAGGATGTCGCAATTCAGTGGATCGTCCGTTTTCTCCACAGAATCTACAATATTAGGATAGATAAATGATGTAGGTAACAGTATTTTTAAATGTCTGTTTACGCTTTAAGGCCTTCAGAACAGACGCCAACTCTGCTAGATTACACATCGAGAATGCTATTTTGATTTTTCCTTGTCCTTTAGCCTTCCTCACATGTTGGTTAATGGCTACGGAAGATGGAATCAGTTTTAGATGGATCCTCGCAGAAAGCACTTATCTTTTTTTATTTACCTTTGAGGGCATTCTCTTGAGACGATGGGCCTGTGCCTTGGCCTGTGAAAAATTTAAAATTGTTAAAATCACAAAAGGAATTGCTGCGGAAACTGATCGTTTTATATACAGGGTATAAAGCGAAAGAGATAGAGGCTTTCCCTGAATCCAGAAGATGGGTTCAAAAATATCCAAAAAACTTTTTCCTTGCACTTTTACTTACTACTCCTTGTTCTTCCCTTCTTTCCAGGCATTTCCTTCTGTTGTGCTGCTGCTGCTGCAGCTGCTGCGGTACTGGTAGTTGGTCCATCACTTTCCTCTTCAGGGACAGAGCTTGACTTTCTTTGTTGATCTTTTTTGATCCTAACAACGAATTCCCGAGTTGCAGCAGCTTTGGATTGTGGTTCTTCTTTAGGGTCCTCCTTGGCAGTATTCCTCCTAGTGATCCTTCCTGTAGTGGGTGGTGTCTCACTTCTACTAACTTTTGGTTTTATAGGGTCGTCATCCCCTGTTGGTGTTTCGGACTTCCTAAGTCTGCCCACCCATCGTTTACCCACTGCACTAGTATTCGCTTTTTCTTTCTCTGGTGGCTTCTCCTTCTTTATCTTACTCTCTGTGGTGTCCTGCGGTGTCGGTGTCTTGGACTTCTTAGGTCTGCCAACTCTCCGTTTAACTTCTGCACTGCTATTGACTTTATCCGTCTCTGCCTGTTGCTTGGTGCCTTTTCGATTTACTTCTGTATTTGCTTTGTCTGTCTCTGCCTCTTGCTTCGTTACTGGTTTCGTTTTCAGCCTTCTTAGTGGCATTCCTCGCCTGTTCTCTATCTTTTTAGCGACTCCTTCTTCGGATGTGTTCCCATTATCAGCTGCCTCTTCCTGACGCTTTTCGATGCTTTTTGCGTTTCTTTGTCGCCTGCGTGGTTCATTAGGAACGACATCTTCCTCTTTTTTGGGTTCGATCGCCCTCTTAACTTTGGAACTCGAAGCAGAATCGAGGTGTGTGTTAGTCGAAGTCTTGGAGTTACTCGACCGTTTCTTGGCCAGCATTTCGGGGGTACTCTCCTTGCTAACAGCCCTTTTATCCTCTTCTGCAACCAACGAATTCCAAGGTGGACGGCGAACCTTGCTGTGAGCTGTAATAACGGGATAAATAAACAACTTGAAGGTCAAAAAATCCAAAAATCAAAACTTACGCTCGACTGAGTTTTCTGCATTGGCTGGCCGCTTTCTTGGCTCGATCCTGGGTGATTCAACTGAAAAGCGTCGTTGGTATGCGTTTCTTGCTGTTGGTCAGGATTGTTGTATTAATTGTGGTTGATTATTTTCTTTTACACCAAGGCCTCGCTTAGCACGGTTTCATTTGAATATTTATCGTTGTACTTAATGTTTCAAAAATGCAAAAAATTAAATAAATAAATTTTTCTGTGCGCCCCGGAAGAAATTTTCGATTAATTTCTGCATTCATTCCGTGAATTTTCCGGTTTTTTTTCAAAAACTATAGCCACTATATTACGTCTTATTATTATTATTATTAAGCAATTAATTATTTTAAATAAAGAATATTTAACTTCACGACTGTTTTCACTTTCGAATAAAGCACTTAAAAATGTAAAATAAATTCGCGATTCTTTGCGGGAAGGAACGTAACATTCTTTGGTATTTGTTTAACTCAATTCTCACTTAGCACCGACAAGACACGGGGTTTTCCCAGTAATTTAAGATCCGCATTAATCGAGGCCTACGCGTATGTAAAAAGTTCTGGAAACCTACTAGTACGTGGAGGTGACTCCGATCCGACTATACGGCCACGCGCGCCTTCGGGTAGTTTCGTCAAACGCCGACGGTGTTTGTTGTTTCTGTCCAAAAAGACGGATTCCATTTGGGTAATCTGTCGAATCTGGGAATAGTTAAACAGAGTCATACGGGGATGCACGCTTAACTTACCTTGGCATTATACTCGTCGTCCTTAATAATGGAAGGTTGTACGAATTTAATTTGAGGTTCGTTTGGATCAGCAGTTGGCAGTGGAGCACCTGCATCCATTTCCAGCAGCAACTCCATGACATCATCATATTTAAGGGAATCCAGAGCTATCATTAAATACGAAAAATAACAATTAACAATACTTTTTTTGGTTCAATAATGCACTTACCTGCTGCATCTCTTGACGTTTGTGCCTTGGTTTCTGTATCTGTATTTTTCACTGGAATGTTTTCTTTGTCTTCTCGAGTGTTCTTATAGTAGCTGTGGTCGTCTGGCAAATCGGTTTCCTGCAATTTTGCTTGCTTGATCTGCGAGGAAAAATCTTGATTGTCCTCATTGTCGCTGTGATCCCTAGTGGATTCGGCTGCGTGCAACCTTTTTAGGTTCTTCCTTGTGGGGAATAGCTGAGTGGCAATGAAATCTTCGTTCGTCTCATCCCAATTGCTGCGATCCTTAGGCGAATCGACAGATGGCAGTCCACCTCGTTTGTGCTTTGAGGAAAAGGGGAATGGCTGAGTGGCAATGAAATCCTGATTTGTTTCTTCCCCAGAGCTGCGATCTTTAAGAGTTTCGATTGCTTGCCATCCTGCTTTCTGCTCGCTCACTAAGGTAAACGGAAATGGCTGAGTGGCAATGAAATCCTGATTAGTTTCATTATTCTCCTCTGGCACTTTGCTTTGAGGGACAATAAAGTCCTGGTTTTCTTTATCTTCCGCTTCGAGAGGAGTTGCTGTTGGCGTCTCTATAGTGGCCACAATCAACTGCTTTAACCCGCAAAGCGTTGGTGTGGCGGATTTCTCGGGCAGGCCTTCATCAGCAACCATCATATCGAATAGATCAGGAGTACAATTTCCTGCATCATGAGATGGATTCTGACCGGATAGGTCTGGCGTCATGCAAGCAACTCCTCGGTCCTTGCTGCTATTCAGGACAGTGCATTTGGAATTGGATGCAGACCAATTTAAGGCACTCAATTCAAATTCAGTTCCGTCGGCATCTGAGTGGAAAAAAAGACTTAAATGATACTAAATATATGAACAGAGTCTACTTACCATGCCTAATCTGTTTTCCAAATATATGAGAAAGTGGCGCCACAGCATCTCCCAGAACCATTGATGAATCAAAGTCGTCAAGTGCATCCTCATCGAATTGATTAAAGTCCTGGGTGGAAATGCGTATCTGGGAGCCCATTTCAGAGGCATCTCCATCGTTGGAGTTGCCCGCCTCATTGTGCACAACAGCAGGTGGAGGTGGAGTACGAAGGAGATCTTGCGTCTCTGGTATCATGAAGTCTTCGCCGAGCGAAACTTTGCCGCCCTTCGTGGAGCTATCAAAGACCACAGCTTGGGTTTCGGGCACAAAGAAGCTGTCAGCTGTTGTGTTAGCACTTGTGTTGGCCGACTGCACCTCCGTTTCAGGAATAACCAGACTCTCAGCTGTTGTATCGACAGATGTGTCCCTGAGGGCTTCCCCGAATCCACTGCTATCATGGTGCTGAAATATTTAAATGCATTTCATGCATTTCCTTTGGCACACACATGTGGTTACACACCTGAAGAGGATCTATCAGTTGCACTTCGGCCTCCACATTACCGAAGCGTAGCTTCACCTTTCCATCGATGGCATGCGCATGGCTTATGTCCGCATTACCGTTCTCCACGTCGTTCACGAACACCTTGCCGAGTAGCGCATTCACGCGAAGGACGCCCGCTCGATAGACGGTTGCAAGAGCATGATACAGCTCCATGGACTACAAGAACACACAAGTTAAAAAACAACGCAATGCAATGACTGCATTCTTGGGGCTTGAATTAAATATTTGTGTGTACTTACTTCATCGGCCACACAGAACTCGTATGCTTCCTTGCGCCCAATGCGGTAGACTTTGCCAGGCTCTAGCAGAACGGACGGCCCACCGTTTATGCTCAAGCTTACATCTGCCATCCCAGGATACGCAAATTTCCCTGCGCGGGAAAATATATTTTGAGGCGTAATTTGGAACAACAATTATGACTCTTTGAGATGGGATTTCTGGTATTCAAAGTCGACTCGCATGCGTTTTTGGTATTTCCGACTACCGGCATTAAAAGACGACTATCATGCACAGCTTGCTATGTTCAATAAACCCAATGATTTGAGAGATAAAAAATTATGCATACATTTTACAGGCCCCCTTTATATAGTTTATAAACAGATGGAGACTGTTTGGCTATAATTTAATGGGTTTGGTATCTCCGATTCCTGAGAATACCAAAAATACCAAAATGCACTTATCGAAACCACTATCGTCACCTCCATTGTTTACGCGTCGCCATACCAACAACAAAAATTGCATCTGCCGCAGGTCGTCAGGGATTGGGAGCATCTGGAGCTGGTTGGAGAATGTTTAAGGCATGAGTGATACCGATACGGACGACACCGATCTGTTGTTGCTGGTACCGCCCAACTACTACACCCAGACCGCCGAGCGTTTGCTGCACGAAGTCAAGATGAACGCAGCAGCAGCAGCCGATGCACTTGTCATGCCACCACCGCCAGTGCCCACGACAGCAGCGTATCAATTCCTTCCGCCCAGTAAGAAATCGGAACTGAATCAGATAAACGCACGCCTGCAGAACATTGGGCTGGATGGCGACGATACTGGACATTTTGATGTGCCCTCCGATATTTCCACAATCTCCACAAACACTGTAAGGACTACGGCGGGTACCAGGCTGCAGAAAGAGTTCCATGGCGTGGTGCATTCCACGCCCAAGGGTGGATCGGTGGAGCCGCCAAGTCGTCGTCATGGGGAGGATAACATTCTGCTGGAGATTGACCATTACCTGGATGAAAACAATACGAATCGCTGGCAGCAACCGCACCACCACCATCATCATCATCACAGTGATGAGCACCTGCGAAATGTCCGTGTCGTGCATGACGGCCATCCGGCAGCCACTTCCTTGCCCAGCATTCGTATGACATCAACATCGGCATCCATTGATGCGGCTAAATGCCCCCGCGGCAGCCTTAGTGACAGCCACAACAAACTCATCAGCTTGAGTGATCTCTGGGGCAAGAGCAGCATGGCGGGCACAGTCGTCGCCAACAACATGCCCAATCCTCTACTGTGCAGCCCCTCGCTGAAGGAGGAGCAGCTGCGTCGTCAGCATCTGGAGAAAACTGTGCAAACGCTACAATCCCAGCTGCTGGAGTATCAGCAGCGCATCTCAGTGGCCATGGAGGTGGATCGCAGCAAAGATGAAGCCCTAAACGGGGCCCAGCAAGCCGCATCGGGTCTCAACTTTGAGGTGCAACAACTCCGAGACGTTCTCCACAGGCTGGAGGCGGAAAGGTGTGACTCTCAAGGCAAATTGGAAGCTCTGCAGCATGAGCTGGCTCAGGCAGTCGGCTTGGCCACCAAGTTCCAAGAGAAGAACAAGAAGATGGAGGCAGATCTGGACAGGCATCAGCAAGAGGCCAAAGACTGGGATGAGAAGTTGGAGCAACTGGAAATGCAACTGCATGGCAGCAAGCGAGCCGAGGAGCTGTCCCATGGTGAGCTCAACAAACTGAGGGATAAATTCGCCAAAGTCGACTATCAGCAGGAGAAGGTACATAATTCTGGCAAAGAAACCACCAAAGCAAAAGTCTTAATTGGGCATTTTATTTGTTTAGCTAAAGGCACAGATTCAAGAGCTGGAAACGGACAATACCACGCTGAGGCATCAGAAGGAAATGCTACAAGAGTATCATCAAAAGCAGAAGTCCCGAGCCGATTCTTTGGAAACACAACGAAAATCAATGCAAGAGACGCTGGCCAATCTAACAGAAGTCGAGGTATAAAGTTCTTCCTTCTGTTTGATCAACCAACAAATAATATTTGATTCTTTTACAGACGAACCTTAAGAAAAAGCTGGAGATACAACAGAAATCCCTGAAGCAACACTACCAGCAGCAAATGGAGAATGTGGTGGCCAAAAAAATGCAGGAATTTCAGAATCAACTGGACAAATCCGAGGAGAATCTAAAGAGTGAGGCACGCGACCGAGAGCGCCTGATAGCAGAGCGTGCCGTGAAGCAGCTGGAAATGATCAACGAGAAGAACAACCAAGAGCTGAATCTCATTCAGGAGAAGCACGACGAGGAGGTGGAACTGTATCGCCTGCAGCTGGCCAATGCCTCCAAGAAGATCGATGAACTGGATCTCAAGCTCAGTGTCTACAAGAACAAGCGGTAGACATAAACGACATAAAACAATATCTGGTATTTATCTATAAACCTTTTGCTTTCCATTCCAGTGCTGACATTGCGGAGAAGCTGCATGGTGTTATGGAGGCCCAGTGGCAGCAGGCCTTAGCCATTCTCACCTCACCCACACAGAATGCCCTAATGCCCGCCAGTGACACGGACAGCGAGTCCCCCGAGCTGAATAATGCCCGTCTCTATCCGGAAACTCCAAGGACAAGCAAATCCCAGCGCAGCAACAATACAGAGAAGAACAATTTGGATTCGGTGGGGAAGAGGGATCCACCCTCGCCCATGGACAAACTGGCGGCATATATTGAGCTGCTGCTTAGCAAGTCGCCCAGTGATTTTGACAAGCTCGACGAGATTCTGGCCCTAACCGCCAAAAAGGGCGCCAAACCAAGCAAACGCAATGGATGTGGCAGCAACAAGGCACCGCCCTGGAAGTGCTGACACCAGGCGATGTCTGGCAGGATCAAATTTGTATTTGTAATTTATAGTCTGATCAGCATTTATACATCTCTGTATAGCCGCATCGAAGTGAATCATAATTGTATATGTTTTGTACTTAAACGTGAAAGTAAATTGATTAGTTTTTGGCAAAATATTATATGTATAGTTTATTTGATAATATCAACAATTTGAAGGCAGCGCAGGCATCAGTATGCGGCACAAAGAGAATGAAAACAAACAAAAAAAGTATAATGTCTGTGTGTTGTGTAAATTATAAAAGTTTTGGTACAAAAAATGTATTTTACAGCTCTATGAGACCCTTATACTCGTATATTATATATGCCTAAGAATCTTAAGTGTTTTTTTTGATATATTGTATAGACTTTGATGGGAGCACAAGCGAAAGTTGACATTCGATCATGGAATCCCTCAAAATGTCCTTTGATTCAGCAGCTTTTTCAGTATTTTATGTGTCGTCGTGTCATTGATATGCTTCTGGGTGTTTCATCTGTTTTTTTGTTTTTTCTTTTCTTATTTGTAAACAATTTGTGGAAATTTGGGAGCATTGCCGTAGAGACCCTCGGATTGCCACACCTGAATGTGGGACTCTCGTGTCAGCACCACCAAATGCTGATGCGTCGAGTAGCTAATGCTGCAAGAGACGAGTAAATTCAGAGCCTGTATTCCTGTATTTTTCTTGGGCAACAAACTTACCTTCGTATGGGCGAAGTGCCCGTGGTTAGTTCACTCACGAAACTGAGGTTCCAACTCGACCAGAAACGCACAAAGCCGCCTTCCACAGCGGTGGCAATCACATTGACGCCAACTCCCTCCTTGATGTACGAGTAACAGACGGCCAGGATGCGATCCTCGTGTACCAGATGCTGCACATACCGGGCATTGACCGAGTGCAGGCGTAGTATGGACTTGCCATTGGGATTGACGTTCACATTGACAAAGTCATCCAGGTTCTCCTCCGTCACCTCGAAGCATTCGTCGGCTATTGCCAGAGAATTGGTTCTCCCCGCAGCTGCCTGCGGCTGTGCATCAGCATTGCCTGTGGTCGCCTGCTGCTGCTGCTGCTGCTGCTGGGGCAGCGTATGCACGGTGACAATGTCGCCCAGCGTAGGACTAATGGCCACATGCGTGATGGGCGACTGATGGATCTCCGCCGGGCGGGCAATCGTGCGAACATAGCTCCAACTGAAAAAAGAGACGCATGGTTAACGAGCGTGGCTAAAGGAGACTTTTGGGGATGTGGCTACTCATTGAGGTCCCAGATGACAGCAATGCCATCGCGTCCTGCAGTCACAGCAATCTTAAACTCCACGGACAGGGCTATGCAGGTGATCTCATCCGTGTGCCGCACCAGCAGGGTGGGTCCCAGCCAGGTCAAGTCGGCCCCGTCCCTCTGCATGGCTTCGCTGCTCGAGGAATTGCTCGCAGAGTTCACCGATGACGCCGAATGAGTTGCATGCAGGCCACCACTCGCCTCCTCTGCTCCAACCAAACCCATGCCCTTGTTGGTCATCTTGCGGAACGCTGAGTTGTACGACAGGCTAAAGCCTCGCGCATAGCTCTGCCGACTCTTGGCCGTGGCCCGCTGCTGGGTGTCCAATCCGCCGGCGCACTTGTACACACTCACCCGCCCGGACTTGTGGCCAAACCAGAGCTGATTGGAGTTCACATCGCAGCCGCAGGCGGTGATGTCATCGAAGGTTCCATTGTGCAGCAGATTCTTGGGCTTCGCTTGGGGTTTATTGAGCGGCTGAATCCTCACAATGCGATCGTCGTAGCCCCAAGAGATTACGTTGTATGTGTCCGGTTCGGCGCCCTGCATCACAGCCGCCCGTCCCGTCAAGGCGTACACCACATTCGTGTTGCTGAAGCTCACCAAATGCTCGGTGCCGGGTATCTTGTGTATGTTCGCCCAGGAGGGAGGTTTCAGCTGGGGCGAGCCCACATAGACGCCCCAACGCAGACCCCGCACAGTGGACACAATGGGCTTGTCCACCAGCGAATAGTCCAGCGTTTTGGTCGATGGATGCGCGGCCTTGAAGAGCTGCCGTGGCATCTGGCCATAGGTCTTTACCATTGTCTTGACCGCCTCCCTTTCGATGGGGTCACTGATCTCCGAGTCCAGGAACACGGCGTAGGTCTGGGAATATAGAAATTGTTTGAGTACAGTGCAGCTGTGGCATTTTCTATCCCCCACTCACCGCCGGATGAAAGACATTGATGGCCTCCACGGCACTTTCGCCGCTCTGCTTGTGGCCATAGATCAAGTCAATCCAATGATGCAGCTGGTTCCTCACCAGCTCCGATTCCAGCGCCTGCCGATGTATCAGCACAAAGAGTCTAGAGTCCCGCTGGCACCAAGGTGGCAGCGAAACATCCTCCACCCGTTCGCCATTCTGTCGACAGCCAAAATTGAAACGCTCAAAGTTCTCGAACATCTCCGGCAGGCAAAAAAACTCTGGTATGAGCTCCTTCACATCCGTGGGACTGTCACGGCTGGCCAGTAGCCAGGTGGTGTTCAGTGCGTGAAATGTGCGATCCGGCAGATCGAAATCGTTGTCCTGATAGCGCAGAAAGTAGCTGGTGAAGGGCGGCACACGCACTAGGAAATGGAGCACTGTTCCAGAGTTGGAATAATGGGAACTGTAGTGATACGGCTTGAGGATCAGGGATCCCATGGTGGTGTTCGTGCTGTCAATGTACTGAAAAATATCCATAATTATATTAAAACCCTTAGCAGTGCAACCCACTGCTGATCCTCACTGTGTAATTGCTGATATAATGCTTTTCGTTCTCCTCCAGCTGAACGGCAATGGGTCGTTCCAGGCGTCGAAAGTTCTGCGTCTCTCGTAGATCCAATATCTCCGAGCTGTAGTTGGCCAGTACCCAGGGAAAGACCGGATACTGCATGAGATCGTTGTAGGTACGTCCGGCAATTTGATTGAGGGTCATCAGATATTCCCAGTTGGTGAGCAGCCCCTCGCGCCACTGCTGCGTGATGGCCAGCACTTTTGTTTGATCGGGCGTGGCCACTATTTTATCACAGAATACATCGCGCATTATCTTCCAGTCGTCGGCATTCTGCAGCGAGAAGAACAGCGACTTGTTGGTGTCCAGCAGGATCTCGAAGGCGGTCTCCTGGTGCTGGTACCGCTTCAGCCAGATCTCTGTTATGTTCGCAATATCACAGTTCACATTGAAGTAACGACAGCGGTACGTGGCCAGGAAATATAACTTCAGATCGGTGATGATGATCTCCCCCTCGATCTCACCATCCACGGGCAGAAATTTCGCCGCAAAGTTGTACAGAATTTGAGAGTTTAGCGATATGTTTAGCTGCTGGTCATAGCTGGCTATCAGATAGTCCAGCGGTCGCACATAGTTCTCTGAATCCTCGCGCTGTCCCTGCCCCGGCCGATACTCGTTCATGAAAAAGCGTCGATCAATGTCCAAATGGCAGCGACGCAGTCGGGTGTGCACACGAAATGGTCCCTCCGTGTCGTCCAGCTCCCAAGAACTGCAAAGAAGAGTACCAATAACATTTGCATTGTGCCATTGTCTTAGTTTACCATTCTGTTCGCTCTGCACAGTGCCAGGGTGCTCCTTCGTGCGTCATCCGACGTATAATCTCCAGCCATTTGGTGTAGGTATAAGTGTCATCGTAGTCCTTCATGTGGCACATGAGCAGCTTGCGTTCAGCATTCTTTAAGCGAACCAAAACCATGATAATTCGACTGTAGGGAGTTCCCCGATTAAATACTCACCTGCAACTCCACCATGCGCCTGGTGGTCACCATTGAGGACTCTACGCAATGCTGCACCAGCGGCTCAAACCGATAGACGGTCTTCTCCAGCAGCGTCTTATGCTTGGCCGCCATATTGCTGCGGCTCTGATCGAGACGTTCCAATTCGTGGACCAAATTCCATGAGGAATCGTTCTCCTTGATGCCCAGGGCATCGCACAATCGCTGCAGGTTGTCGATGGGCTCCTCCATATCCTCCAGCAGCGAGAGCCAAAGCAGCGCCTTGATCATCTTGCCATCGCAGATAATGGCCCGCTGGAACTCGTCCTGCTGCGACCTCCACAGCGCATCCACAATGTAGGAGCGCAGATCACGCGGACGCGACGGCTGCAGACCCCAGGCAATGAAGTTGTTGCACCGCTGATTGCTCGAAATGCCGTAGGAGACGAGCAGCTGGAACAGGGCCAACTCCGGAGAGCTGGCCACGTAGCATGTGGAGCCCGTCGTCTGGCTCTGTCCCATGCCAACGGTGAAGAACTGACTGCACCGATCGATGAGCAGCTCCACGCGAGTCCTTAGCTCTGTGTGGCTGAGCGGGCAGTCCGCCTGAGCGGGTATTTTGAAGCTATTCGGCTCAAACAACTTGGTCAGCCACTCCAGCTGCAGTTGGGCTTGAGCCGTGCGAAAGCTGCGTACGATCTGCTGTGGCTGCTTGTCCTGGTAGAAGGCCAACAGATTGAGTATGTCCCACAGGAGCTATCGACAGGGCATCAATGGTTTTAAACGATTTCATTGAATAATGCTGCGGTTACCTACATTTATCTGTCCCACAGAGCGCAGGGCCCGATCGCCTATATGCACCAGCAAATCCACAATGGACTCATCCGCATTGGGCGGACCCAAACGCAGCGAGTAGATCCTGTACAAGGCCTTGACCGAGCACTGAAGCAGTCCAGCCTCAATCAGACACAGCTGGTCATCGGGATTCTATTCAAACAGAGGGATTATCATCAGGATTACAAAGGATATTCCACTGGCAAGCCCAATTCACCTGCAAATACAGACGCTGCAGAGCTTTAAACACTTTCTGCGGCTCTGTGCCCGTGGCTATGGCCAGCAGTGACTGCAATCCAAAGCGCTGGCGTATCCTCAAGGGGCTCTCACAACTCAATAGATCCGTGAGGCTGCCATGCACACCGCTTATCCATGCCAGACACGCCTCAAACATGGATATGTCGCACGAATGGATGGTCAACTGATTGGCCAAATGCAGGGGATACAGCAGCTTCGAGGCAGCGGCCAGTTCTCCATTGCCCAAACGTTTGGTCAGCACATGCAGCAGCTGGATGATGGCCTGGCGAACGGCACAGCTGCGTTGATTGGCCAGCACCAGGAGCAGCTCCAGCTTCACATAGTGGCGCAGCACCTCATCCACCGCGGAGTCGGGCAGCAGACAGAGAAAGTCCTTGAGCAGGATGAGCAGACG